GGATGCCTCGCTGCGAGGCAATCCAGAGCCTCCCTGCATTGCAATACAAGACTCGAAGTAATCTTACAAGCACTTAGTGCTTTCATTGCAGCCTGGCTGTCGGATAAGATTGTTATTCTTCTCCTAGGCCCATCCTCCTCCAGAATGTGAGATACACAAGCCAGAATCGCAAAGATTTCCGCCTGGAAAATGGTGGTGTACTCACCGAGAGGCAGAGATAGCCTAGTTCTAGGCCCAGAGACCCCAGCACCTGAGCCCTCTTCGGTGACCGAGCCGTCCGTGTACCAGACCTGCCCGCTCACTTCGGAGAGTCCTCGGCTACCGGCGTCCCACTCCTCCCTCGTTGGGTACTCCACAATAAACTTGCGGTTGAAGCAATATTTAGGGGTAATACGATCACCCCTGCTTAGAAGGACGGGGTCCTCCCTTTCTAATTCGACTAAGATGGCAGTATGCCCCTTGACCGGATTCAAGAAAGCCCAGCTGCCCTGACTCCACAGTCGATGAGCGACTACTCTCGCTTCACCGCGGATCACCAGATCCAACGGTGGGAGATCCAACAGAGCTTCCATTGCACTTAATGGCGTTGTTCGCACTGCGCTTGTAATGCTAATACAGGCCAAACGCTGAATTTTATTGAGTTTGGCCTTAGTTGACTCAGTTCTAATGCAAGGCCACCAGACCAGGGAGCCGTACAGGAGAGATGGACGTACTATCGTCGTGTAGAGCCAGTATACCACTTTGGGTTTAAGCCCCCACCTTACACCGACAACACGTCTACAAGCCCACATCGAATTGCAAGCCTTGCTAACCTTGTGTTCCACATGCTCTCTCCAGTTCAGTTTGCAGTCCAGGATAATTCCCAGATATTTCACTGACTGGGACAAAACTAATCTAGTCCCAAAGAAGGTCGGCATGACCAGTCCGTCAAGCCTTCTTCTCCTAGTGAATAGGATCAGCTCGGTCTTTTCAGCATTAACAGAAAGATCGACTTCCCTACACCACGATTCCACGGAGCGCAGAGCGCCCTGCATAATTTCCGAGACTGTTCTACAGAAACGCCCCCTAACCACTATGCTTACGTCATCAGCATAGGCTTGCGCGTAGACACCCATACTGCTGAGCCTAACGAGCAGTTCGTTCACCACGATACACCACAGTAGGGGTGTCAGAACTCCGCCCTGAGGGCAGCCTCTAGCTACGTTCACGCTGCAGCTTACGTTATTCAGCATAGCTGTTGTTACCCGACCCTCCAGAGTAGAGAGGACCCAATCTATTAGGATTGATCCAACCCCGTGTCTAACCAAGGCCTGTCTGATAGAGTCGGTTGTGGTGCAATTAAATGCACCTTCAATATCCAAGAAGGCCACGAGTGCCACTTCTCGCTGATCTAGAGTCTTCTCCAGCCTCCCGACCAGATTGTGTAAGGCCAGATCAGTCGATTTTCCAGCTTGGTATGCAAACTGATTTGCATGAATGACACACCTTTCCAGTGGGCCATCCCTTAGGTATCTATCAACTATCCTTTCCAGGGTCTTAAGCACAAAAGATGAAAGAGTAATCGGTCGAAAATCCTTCGGGCCAGTATATCTATCTCTGCCCGGTTTAGGAATGAATACCACTTTAGCCTGCCGCCAGCTTCTAGGTGTGAAGCCCGTGGCCACACATGCTCGAAACGAGATTTCTAATAGATGCTAGTGGTTTTCCGTGTCGAAGGCGTTTGCTGGATCACAACCAAAAGACATGATTTGCTTTCATTACAAGCATTCCAGGTGGTACAAGCAAGTTTTTCCGCATAATTTCTGGGCCGGGTTACAGTATCAACTTTTTTTCCTTATTAGTTGGGGAATTATGAAAAAGCAGGCTTCAACCAAAATACAAACATCAAAGTATTCTAATCTAAAGTACGAATATTGACCTGATATAAAGGCACTAATAACGGTCTTGCTTTGTTCGCTATTGTTGTTATAGACAATAGTTTTTTTGCGCTCATTCGTATGCACTACCGGTGCAGCCGTACAATTCCTATCGAAAAAAGTCAAGTACAAAGGATCTTTCATTCCTATTGCAGCATTGTATCGTACACATTTGATCGACTTCATACCAGATCAATTAGCAAATGCATCATTCACACAAAATTGACAGAGTATCTTGGTATACTTGTTAACTATGAATAAATGCAATCGAATTGCTCGGCCAACGATATCGAACTACATGTTCATACAAAAATGGTGAAGTATCTTTTGCTACTCGATCCTTTACTTATTTTTTCAACGAATCTCTGGTTATTTTCAAAATTTATTTATGCGCTATATCTCTAAATGTAGGTAACATTTCACTCAAATTAAATCATTATTACTGGCTGATCTATTTTCTTTGTCACTAAGTATAGAAGTAGCAGTGATTTTGGTGTTTCCCCAAATACGGTTTTTGATGATAGTCAAAACAACAAAATGCATCACATCTAAACATCATTCATCTCCGGTTCGAACCAACCGGCTCTCCGCCCGAGAGTGACGTTACTTTCACGCCGCACCACATGAATCACACGCGTAATGGATTTACAGCATGCAGAGCATAGATCTCCGTGCACCACGGTGATGGGTGACGCGATGCAACGCTAGCGGTGCTCCGCTCTATAATTTCGTCACTTCAGACATCCTTGACGTTCGCTTCCATTGGCGGAACGCTTAAGCAATTTCACGGTAATGTCAACCTGATAGTTAAAAACCGAAGCTTACCGCACGGGTATTATGTAAAAATCCTATAAAACCTCACTAGGACCGTTGTGAGCGTCCATCTACGGAGGAAAACTCAACTACACACATTGTTGGTTGCATATGTTTTGAGAAGCCGAGTAGTCTGTTGATTTCATCTCTGAGAAGAAAATTGGTTGAGTATCAAGATCGCATCTGGATGATTATGTGTATTGGTCTGCATGTGTATAAAATCAGTGATATTTGCTGTGTGAGAAAATCATTACTGAATATGCTGCCAATGAAGTGAATCTATTAGCTGTGTCCGACGAGTTACTTATATGTTGTCCTTTCTGACGACAGGTTATGTTGGTAATTATGAATTACGATTTTTACTTTTTTTGTGTTTTCAAAAACTCTGAGCAGAGCTACGGAATATCACCACCGCGCCCGCGTTAAGTGCAATTACTGTTAGCATGTATATGACTTGTAATTCGACAGTGTACAGTGAATATAATTATTTCTTACCTCTCTCATTTTTGAAATTCAGCAAATTTGCATATATAATTTCTATAATGGATAAGAGAAAGTGGATACGCGACTAATTTCAGCTTTAAGTCTCAAGTAAATGTATTCGAGACAAGAATCCAATGGAACTATCATCAACACATATTATTAGCACACAAATCCTCACTATGCACCTATGCATTCAACTTACAGCTTAGACCTTCAGTAATGCCATCTCTGAAGCAGATTTAACATCGCATCAGAGCCAAACATTGATAACTGAAGCATCATGACGTTTAGGCAACTCGTACATTTACAAAAGAGTTCACAACGTGCTAAGTTAACATCTTGTAGGAAAACCTACATAATGTCACAAAAAACCAATACAATGTCAAAATAAATCGTACATGATTATATTTGTTGGTATTTTACTCTTCCCGGACTAAGTAACTGTGTCATCATGCACAACACATCCCGCCATCCCGATGTCTTTGAACAGGAAACCCCAAAGACAGAATTCTATCTTGGCTTATACTGAACTAACAAACGCATTTCCCATAGGGCTCTCTATTAGAAAATTGATGGGGCTTGTAGTCCATACTCGTATTTTTCTTATAATTTATCAAATATCCCAGTATCATCTTGAAAGAATTTGGAGTATCTTATTTGATAATGACATTATTATGAAGTTGGATGTTTTAGAGCTGTGAATTTTCTATGATACTAAGCATGCATTCAGTATAATGTCTCGGAAATGGGGTGGGTCTGTTTCTTTCAACTTCGGATAAAATCATTCGCATTACAAGCGGCAATTAATGTTGCTCCACTAACAGTTTTTGCTCAAGCACACCTTCACTAACTTACAACTATTGGGTACCTCAGCTTCTTTCTGCGAATGACACCGACTGCCCCTCTTGAGATATGGCATACTGGATCCAGTCTGTTTAGATATTTCAATTACACAAAGATTTTTTTATATACTCGTACATACACTAACTTTCACATCTTCTAAAGAAGTTGTATACATACATACAAAGCAACAAAATAGGCGCATCAGTTATACCACCTTGATATTGTACTGGTTCAATGTTACTCCAATCGGGTACATACTTCAGCTATCGAGGTTAATAAGTCATGCTTTTTGCAACAAACGTTCACTTAAAACAGTTGCAGAGCGTTAAGTTACCAGTAACATTTCGTCAGACTCCCAGAAATGTTTCCACTTCGTCTCGTTTCAAGTACCACCTTTAAACCAGTTACAAGATACTCAAAAACAATGTCCTTTTTGTGATTCAATTATCTTCAGATAAAAAATAACCATCCCAGGTGGCAGTCTTTAACCCTTAACTAATGAGCATAGTTTTATAACGTTTTACGCTGATCATGGGTCAAATTGACCCATGATCATCCGAGGGTTATTTTTAGGTCTAATTTTTCTTTTTTTCTTCAAAGAAGTTATGTATCTTTTAAATGATTTATTTTTACTCACAAAATTCAATACTTAAACAAATATACAAACTATTAAGTAATAATATCAGTACAGTAGCCAGTATTGCACTTAAAAAGGTTTATAAACTAAAACACCTCAAAAATGATAAACTATTATAAATGAAAACAAGATAATATTTGATTTTGATTTCTAAGACTTCAGTATGTGAAATATAACATAAAACTTCAAATGTTTCAAAACTTTTAAAAACTGACACCGTATTTGATAATAACAAGTGCATTTTTTAACTTTTCCTAACTACAAGCAATTTCTGCAAATAGTTGAAGAACATTCATTACATATGGGTTTTAAACATTTTCCACACGCATTGGAAGTTTTTCTGTCCTTTTTTGATGGAAAAAGGCTACATCTTTTCCGCTTTGGTAAGGCTGAGGCAGCTGATGAAGAGGCTCTCCAAGCACTCGGCCTATATCTACTTTCAATCCTTTCTGTAAGCTGGGATTATTATACCTGAAAACATATAGAAATATTTTAGCAATGATATTCTATTTATAACAAGTTTTCATTACCTGCGTCGAATATGGGGCTCTACAACTTGATACGCCAATTCATCAATAAATTGAAATCTGTCAATTTTCTTAGAATTCTTACAGCTTTGATAAATAATATAGCTATTTACTGATGATATATTCAAAACTGTATAAAATAATGCCATGATCCAACGTCGTGTTCTTCTACTACATGAATATACAGAACATTTTTGGTCCATAGAGTCGACTCCTCCTTTGGTACCATTATAGAAGGCTATGATCTCTCGCTTATCGGACTCCAAATCTTGTTTTCCTTCATGATGTAACGAAGAGATCAATATTACAGCTTTGTTTGGTTTTGGAACGTAGGACATAATTGTTTTATCTTTAGTAAAACCATAACATACATCTCCAACAGGGCGAACTTTTGACGGTAAAAACTCGATAGGTATTTCTTTTTTATTTTTGCGGAGAGTGCCGACATGTGTAAGACCCCGCTTTCGCAATTCTTCAACCAATTCATTGGAAGAAAACCATGAATCACCAGTTACATTTATGTTAGATTTTTCCAAAGGTTTCACTAGTCGAATCACTGATTGTGTTGGAATTGATAACTTTTTTTCATCCTGGGTTAATGTAAAACTATCGCTGCCTTTTCCGCAGTAGACGTAGGCATTGTACAAGTAGCCACTTTTAGCATCAGTAAGACATTGGACTTTTAGCCCATATTTGTTAGGCTTGCTGGGAATATACATTTTAAACCTGCAGCGACCACGAAACGGATGGTCTTGGACTTTGCTAGTTTTGCGCGGTACCATCTTGAAATTGTGCTGATGCTTTCGCCCAATTTCAGAACAGTACACGACCGTTCAGACTATTGTTGTAACATACTGTATAGTAGCGGAAGAAACAAATGAACTGACACCTAGTAGACTTATGACATATACTGCCATTATCATTAAAATTTGTACTTTGAAAAATGTCACCGTAGTGACCAACACATATGTGGTTTCATTTTACAAAAAAAAATCAAGCTGTATCAGCCCAGAACCACAGAATACGTCTCAGATGTTACATTATCCAAATTCGATGTCTTCTTAGATTTAGGAAATAAAAGAACTTTCGGTTATAGCCATACCATTTCTCTAGATTTTACGTCACCTACTAGTCCTAATTTAGCAATATTCGGTACCGCAAACATGTCCCGTATGCACATTTTCCTCGATATAAATATTCAACCCTTTTATCGTCGCATGCAGCTGGCCCTCCACGTTTCCAACCATTGTCGTAGCGCACCCTGTATAATACATCAAATTATATATAATTTTTTTGTTCGATAGCGGCGTAGAAGTGTGCAGTGGATGGACATATGGCGTCGGATCGACCATTGTTCGAGGATAGATAAGGGGAATATGTTTACAAGAGCACGAGGGTGACGATTTTGATGGTGAACTTGATGGGGAGCTATGATCGCAGCTGTCGCACTTTTATATTCGACCTATCAGTCTCCGCATAATGTGTACATATACTCGAATCATAATGAAGCTTGCTATTGCATGTTCTATATGGTGATACTGACAATATAGTAATATTTCAGCAACATAATCAACTATGCAGTAACCCAGTGAATTTTTGTGATAAACACTTCAGGCAGGGGAGTGTCAATGATTGAAAAAAGTCGATTAATGGAAAATCGATTGTTTTTTAATACCTATCGATTTGTGGAAAATCGTTTTTGAAAGAAAGGAATAGACTTTTCTGGAAAAGTCGATTTTTTCTACTAGTCGGAGAACTGCATGTATTCTAAATAGTAAGAATAAAATTAAGAAATTAACATTAACAATTCATCAGAATAAAAATCAAATAAGGTAATAAATAAGTTAAAAAAAGTATCTACACGACAACCTGGATTGGTGAGAAAAGTAGTACAGTATAGTATATATTCCTTTGTAACAAAACTGTTCGTGATGCGTGAATGAAAAAATATAATTGATACTCTTTTTGGTAGCAGAAACTATCCTGTTTTAACTTATTTTGAAAAAGTCACCCTTATGGATTTCATCCACGGAGGTAACAAATCAATGGAATATTGAAACTACACCTTTCTATAACTAATTAGATCCTTCTACAGCTCTGCTGGCTTGTCATCTACTTGTTTATCCTTCTGCATTTTTTGTATAAAAGCGTCTAATAGCACCTTCTTCAACCTTAGAGAGCAGCTTCCATTCTACATAATACAAGGTGGTCCCGGTAGCAGGAAGTTTTAAATACTTTATGATTCTAAATGCAATTTAATTTAAATAACATACAGTATAACATTAACAAACTAGTAATACACATATGCCATTTTTTATTTCTCAAAAATAATACCGCGTAAATGTCCTGCTCTTCTATGTATGCACTCTTGAATTCTTGCATGGAAACTCGCCATGACGCGATGCAACATATCCACATGAGTCTTAGCAATTTCTTCAATAATGTCTCTTTTAAGCTCCTGAATGGTTCTTGGTTTATTAATGAACACCTTTTGTTTTAGGTAACCCCACAAAAAGTAATCGCAAGCCGTTACGTCTGGCGACCTTGGCGGCCAGTCAATGTCTCAACGTCTGGAAATCACATGTTGCGGAAAGAATCTTTGCAAGGAACTTAATGACGCTCTCGTGGTGTATGAAGTAGCACCATCTTGCTGGAACGATGTTTGATTATTATGTGAAAATCTGATCAATCGATGACTCAAAAACTGGCTTGTCATATCGGTATAATGCAACAGTTAATGGAAACAGTATTCTCATCCTCATCTACAAGACAGTGGGGCCGTATAATTCCCACTGAAGACATCGCACACCATACCGTCACTTTTGGGTTATGTAATGGTTGTTCGTGGAGCTCCTGTTGATTTTCTGATTGATTGAGATCTTTATGCAAAATTCGAAGTAAAGATGTCCTACAAATGCTTAACGCTTGGGCGCGTTTTCGGGTTGAACCCTTTGGAATGTCTTCCACAAATATTCTTACACTTTTCTTTGGTCTTTTATGTTTGACATTGCCAGCTAAACCTGTTTGTTTAAATTCACGAACCCATTTCTTTATAGCATATGCCGAAGGAACTCTGCCATGTCGGCCAATTAGGAAATAAAGTCGGAAATGTCGCTGAGCGGCAACCACACAGTTATTGTTTTTATAGTACGACTCACCAGACCACTGCTCCATGAGTACTAAATGACATACAGTGACAGATAATTTCAAAACACAATTTATAGCAAGCTGTGCGTAGTTACGGAATAAGATTATCAAAACTTCCCGCTCCCGGGAATCACCTTGTATAATGGACCCTTATGGTCACTTGGCAATTTTCAAAGTTACTATGGAAACTAAAGTGAATCTTGCTTGGTCTGACATGGAACCTTCCGGTAGAAATGGTATCTTCGATAGTACGCTACTTCAAAATTCAGATTAAACATTTTCTATTTGTTTAGCCTAAATCATCCACATACTTAAATCGTAATGAAGATTTGCATTTTGTGTCATCTTCATTTTGGAAACGCACTTGGGCTGGCACCTCTTCTGCAACATGTCGCAGACAGTCAGACAACCACGGCATAACTTCCACATTTGACCAGTCGACAGCCCTGTCCTAGTTTTCATAAGAAAGAAGAAGGTACAAAATAAAAGGGTACTACTCCATAAACTGGGGTTTGGGAGTTAATATTCCAAAATCTGGAATTGAACGAAGAAACGCCCGCACACAACCAAAATCACAGCGGAAAAGCAAAAGCAAAAATGGCGCTGGACGCGTGGTTACGCCATTAAAAGAATATATCTTGATAGTAAATCACATTTCAAAAGAAAGTAACTTGATAGTAAATCAAATTTTAACAGAAGGTATCTTGTTAGGAAAGTAAACATTGAAAGAAGGTTAAATGAATGGCCTTGAAGCAGGTATGTTGATAGAACAAAATATCCCTATACGGCTAGAACGTGTAAAGTCACGAGGGTCCAACGATATTTTATGAGAAAATTTCGAAGATAGTCGTTAATAATACTACAACATTAGTGTCCAAAAGAGTTTAATACAATACTATATCGCTGAGAATCACAGATATAATACGTCAGAAATTATACAATCAATAAATTATGGAATTTGCCAAAAGAAAGTCATTAAAAAGGGTTTGGTCCAGGAATGGGCACCCTACTACTAATAAAGAGAAACTCAAGTAAGTGATCAAAAATAACAAAAAGAACAGGTTACGCGATTTTGGCAAGTGACAAGTAATTTGAAATCTAGAGGTAGTTGCAGAGACAAATTCAAAAAATTAAATGCTCCCACTGATATTAATTTATGAACTATGGGTTTATATGCTCATCCATTTGGACAAATTCGCTAAAAACCGTGATATACATACATAGTCTCGATACGAGGAATGAGGATAAGTTACTCATACGATCTTATGAAAATAATATTGAACACAGACCTCCAGGTGTATTTGGTGGAGGTATAACGAATGGTCAACGAGTTATAAAATATTTCCATATGATTATTTTTAAATCTCACATGAGGGGACCCTCTGATAAAAAACTCGTACTACATAATTGCAGACTAGCTGCAAGATTTGTTCTCATATTATAAGCCAAAAGTAGTGTGCACTTTACCGCTCACAGTAGATTTAAGAACTTTGACGATTCCTATGCAAACTTGACACTTATGGAAAAATGAAGGATTGAGTTGAATTGGACCGTAGCCTTGTTCCAACTTTGCCGTCTTACGAAGATTTTACAAAGCTTCCGGAACAAATAGAGAGTATGTATAAGCTCATCTATGAATCTATTAAGATACACCCCGATAATTAGCCTTCTCATAATGCAGAGTCAGCTGCACATTTCGATTAAATGAACAAAGGCCAGAGTTAGTTTATTCCTGGTAGTAGCCACAAATGGTCACTTTGCAACTGAACCGTCACAAAGGTTCCGTTATCAGTTTCTCCGTAAATCCGGTGAATGTTTGGGATTCATCCCACTCGTCAGTTAATAACTGAAGCTAGGACGCCTGTTATCAGAGCGTATTTCTGAGCTCGGAGTTTATAAAGCTGCCCATTTCTATCAAAACACTGTTGTCAAATCAGCTTCCAGGTAGTGATATCGATTAAGTATTCTACCAGAAAGTGGAAGGTGCCCAATCCAGTCGGAAGCCATGCACGTGCATTAAAGGCTGTATGTACCATACTAAATCTTAGGAATAACTACTACTAAAGCCGGAGTGCTCTTTCCTTGGAAGGTTGAGGTCATGTTAAAAAAGTCGTCAAGCAGTTTGACTCTGAGCTTCCCACGAAACGCTGCGAATTATTATAAGAAGAAAGATTAACTACGGACATGTGTAACGCAAAAAAGAATGAAATGGATCAACTGAACCAAGCAGTCACATATAAGTAGTACATAGCCCCGACCCATGTGACAGCGCTGCGATTTACAAATTTCTTCTCTGGCCCTACTGTAGGGATCCACCATCCACCAAGTGCGAACTATACGCGACACGTCCGGTTGGTGTTTCTCCAAGTTTTAAATGGCAAATATTCTACCGCCAAAATATTCAGAAGCCTCCAAAACGTCATAAAACGGAGTTTGAGCGATTTTTTTTAATTTTGTGCTCATCGCTCCGTCGCCACTGAATCGATTTCCGAAACGTTCAATGCTTTTTCGCCCTTGGCACCGTTGTTACCTGTCATGAAAGTAAAAATCTAAACAGTACTTTTCAAGTTATAGAGGGGTGAAGTCTTTCGCGATTATATTACTTCCTCTTCAGTGGGGTGGTAAGTAAAAACGGTATCTGTCTTTATTACTTCTATGGGGATTTTCCTGATCCTATTTGGATAAATGGCTGTGATTGTGGCAATTGTATGTGAATGTCCAAATACAGCATAGGGTTGTTCATCTTCTTGTGCTGCTTCATTTAGTACAAACCTTGATTAATGCATTTTCCTCGATGCTAGATAGTAGTAGTAGCAGTAATATTTATTAACTCTAAAACACAGGGAACATGAAATGAGTAAATAAATATAATTTATCCATAGAAGGACAATGCATGTACATGGATCATATGTTTGTTGAATTGCAAAAGATAAAAAAAGAAAGAATAGAGGGAGAGAGAAAAGCATGATTATTTGTAAGAATGATAGCATTTACTGTGTAATATTTGAGATTATCCTATGCATGTTATTTCTCCCAATCATGTTAATATTTCTTTTATTTTTATTTTTTTGAAACTTAATGTATTCCGTTATTGTTTTGAATTATTTGGTAAAT